AGGAAGTCGCAGCCGGTGTTGTTGCCCCACGCCATCGGTTCCGCCATGCTCCAGTTTACATGGTAGTAGCCCAGGTCCGCAAACACCGCCATCGTCAGCGCTGTGTAGTAGCCGGCGCCAACTGTGAGAGCCATCAGTTCGTCACGGGCACTGCGTTCCTCCCAGTGAGGCATCTTCCGTTGCGCGCCGGCATCGTCGTTCTCCAGCTCCATGCCATTCAGAGAGCTGCAGTTGAAGTGCGCTGCCGCCCTCACTTTAACATTATGCCCCGTCACCATCTTGCGCTGTATTCCACGCCCGGTCGACTCTGACCTCACTATACCCTTCTCATTCATTGCCTCGTAGCTGAACCCAAGAGCATACGCAAGCCCGCGTGCGGCGACACGAACGCTCCATGCCGAATCAGTCAGGTACACCGGGTTGAAATCCATGATGCCAATGGAAGGGCGCAAGTCAGTCAACGTGGCACACGTGGCCCCCCACACCGGAATGTCGAAGCTGAACGGCCCGGCAGCTGCGTAGATGACCATGTCGGCACCAGTCACACCACCGGTCTTGTGTTCAGCTGGAATTTTAAAGTGCTGGCATGGTTCTCCAAAAGATCTCGGAAAACGTATTTTGTCAGACACGGGCTTGACGAGGAGACGCTCCGCGTGCAGCTTCACTGCCATGGGGATAATCTTCTTCTCGTACAACTGCTTCTTTTGCTCCGACATAATGTGTTCATCTTTGCACACTACCTTGTGCCCCAAGTAGTTGGTGTACTCCTCCCCCACCTTTTCGCAGTACCTCTTCAACCACCTCCTCTGATTATCGTTCTTCAGATCCTCCGTCAACACCGTGATGCGGATGGGCTTCCAGTCACCGTCATCTTCCTTTGTGGTGGCGGTGTACGCCTGCATCGCACCCTGCCCCTTGCGCGGCAGCTCACGCACCACCGCAGTTGGCGACCGGCCGCTCTTCCACAACAGCTCGTCGAACCTGCCGCGTCCCTCTCGGGCGGGAGCTGCGACGGCAAGACACCCACCGGCACACTGCACCGCCAACAGCAGCAGGAGCAGCGCCAGTGGAAAACACGGGGCGAGGTAGCGTGGCCGGCGCATGACTTGATAAAATTTTCCTCGTTGCTTCGATGTGAGTAGTAGCAGTTGCAACACAGGCTGCCCACACGCAAAACAGAAATAAAAGACGGGGATAAGTAAGAAGAAGAAGGGATGAGAGAAGGCCGCTGCAGCAACAAAGGAGGGCTGAGGGAAATAACACGCCGTGGGAGACAGGAGAGACCCCGGCCCGCCCGCGACCGCGGGGTCGGCACGCACCTTCTACCCCCGCGTACCCCAACGAGAAGCGTGCAGAGGGCAGAAGCGCCCCGTTGCCGAGAACACCGGGGCACGTGCGCGGTGGCGTCCTGTCCCCTCAGCAAAACAAAAAAAAACGATCGGCAACGCACAGTTGTCTTGGTGTTGCCGTGCGGGGACAAAGTCCCCACCGCCGGGGCGCTCCCCTGCCTCGCAGCACCCATCAGGGCCGCGCAGAGGCCGGTGCCGGAATGCCCTCCGTGGCCTTACCAGCTCAGTCGGTAAATCCGCACGGCTCTTAACCGTGTTCTCGGGGGCTCCATCCCCACGAGGGATGCCTTCTCCCTCGTGCTCCGCCGCCGCTTCTCTGTCGCCGTCGTGTCGGCGCAAGAAGCCGTCGCGCATTCCCATCGGCCACAACCCACGCCTTGCACGCTGGGCACCAAAACAGGGCCGCGCGAAAGGGAAGTTGAGGCGCCAGCTGGGCGTCCCGCATCGGCGGCTGTGAGCTCTCCGAGCTTATACCCCGCGCCCCCCTCTCCCCGCACCGCGCCCACAACACGAGGTAGCAGCGGCAACAGCAACAGAACATAAGCACAGGCGGAAGCAGGGCTCTGAAACCATATTGGACGAAGCGCATCTTATTTGTGATAATTAATGGCTCAACAATTATTCCGTAACGGAACAGCGCATATTGAGGTTCAGAGACACACAAATACGAGATAAAACCTGTAAAGTGAAAAATCTAAGAGGTATGTCACGCTGCTACACCTCTTCGCTGGCACCTTTGTGCGCTGTAAGCTCTCCAGGCAACATTGCTAGCTCCTCTGTCATCGCAGGATCAAAGACGACTGGATAGAATGGTCCTTGTATCATAGCCCCTGCCTGAAATTTTGTAGTGTGCGGTAACAAGGCTCCATTCTGGGTTGCGAACGTCCTTTCTCCCATGTAATGTATTAAACAGCAACGCGCGGCGTCGAGGGAGCGATTTCCATGGGTTGCAAAAACTGTTAGTGGATGAATGAGGAGCGCCTCACCGCGCTTCATGTCCACAGTGACGGGAGGGGTATCCATAAGCATTTCACTCTCTTCCTCGTTGATAATTTCCCAGATGGTATTCAACTGCTGTGCCTCGTCCTTGGTAGGGTCATACGGAACTGAAGGCAGCAACCCGCCCTCTCTCCATCGGTGGCTACCAGGAACCAGACAAGGTGCTCCACGATCCTTGTTCATTGTGTCAAGGGCAATCATGACTGTCACATGATTTACAGGCGTTGTATGCTGCCAACGGGCGTAGTTTTGCTGCCAGGGAACACACGGCCCCTTGCGGGCCTCCTTCATGAACACCTCATCGTACCACAATCGAACGAGCGAGTTGCCAAGAATCTGCGAAGCAGCTACAGTGATGGTTGGAAGGTAGATGAGGTCATGCATGCCCCACGCGGCCCGCCACTGCCCCTGGCAATAGAAGAGTGGCCCCCCTGTTAAGTCGGCCAACGAGGTGGCATACAATTTCTCCGTCTTTGGATGATGTTCCACGTTATTGGCCAGCTCATTCACCTCGTCGGCCAGCTTATCCACCTGCTGCGCGTCGAGTACGGGACGAGGCAGTTTGATGTAGCCAAGCTGATGAAAACGATCCACAATTTCAGGCGGTATCACAAATTGACTGAACTCGTCCACGTCCGGCAGCGTTCCATACAGGCAGCCAAGGGCTCCGTTGAGGTCTTTGAGGTCCTCGGGAAGTTGACCCCGAAGGAATTTCAGCACATACGATTTCCACCGGCACGACAACGCGAGTCGCGGCGAGGTCACCACGCGTGACGTGACAAACGGCGATCGCAGAAGCCTCCAAGCGCAAGCACTCACGCGAGTTGCATGCATTTCTGTGGGGATGAGCTACAGGGCACCACCGCTCAGGCCCCCTCCGACAACGTACAGAGAAGAGAACTACCAAAAGAAGGTGACAAATAATAGAAAGTGAAGTAAGGGAAGGAAGAAAGGTTTGAAGCAGCAACAACATCAACAAAAATAATGGGAAAGGCGGTAGACCAGCCGTGCAATCGGCAATAAAGACGTGGACAGGGATTCAGCGAGAAAGTATTTACGTGGTATACTGCATTCATTCATTGATAGCTGTTACTCGTGCTTTTCTCTTGCCGTACGGCGTACTCAGCAAGAATCCACCATCAGCGGACATATATATATGTGTATGTATCGTCCGCTACAGGCCCTTTCCAATCTTCTGCAGCTTTCGTTTTTTCCACTTGTGGAAGTAATCCTTCTTTTCGGTCTCATTAGTGGTGCTCTTCTTCGACGATTTGCGACCACGTGAAAGGAGTCGAACCTCCTCCGCCGGGGCATGGCCACCGGTGCGAGGAACTTTGTGTGGGTTAACGGAGGCCTTCATCGCCGCTGTTGGTGCCACCTCTTTCTGGCGGCGTTTGAGCCACTTGCGTTTGTCCTTCTCCTGCTTGACTAACCGGCGAAGGCGCGCCTTTTGAGCGTCAAACGTGTTGAAGCGTGCTGAGGGCCGAAGCGCCTTGATCCCGTGCAGAAACGCCTCGGAGGGGTGGGTGAGGTTTCGCTCCGGCCGAAGCGTGTTTTTCCACCACACCGCCTCATTCTTGTCGTCTGCAGAAATGGCGTACACCATGCCAAGGTGAGCGTCTTGCACGCCATCGGTGGCGCTCTTCTGAACAATGATATTCGTCCCCTTCACGAACTTCTTTCGCTGGTGCGGCGCAGCGTTGGCAACCATGGCTCCCCCTACCTCCGCTCGCTCCCTGCATGTGGACGAAAACGTGTTCAAAACCAGTAGAAACAGCAACAGCAACAAAAAAATAAGGTCAACGAGCAATGCAGCCGCCATTCCCAGCGAAACACGCGTCAGTGAAGTTTGGGGTGAAGAAGGTGAGCCCGTACGGGCGTATGAATGACCACCTTGTCGACCCTCACACACACACACACAAAGACGTACTCTCTCTCTCTCTCTCTCTCAGCCTCAGCAGGCACGTCAAGGCTCCTGCCATCTTGTACTCTCCCGCGTCCGACGGTACATCTCGAGGGCCCTGGAGAAATGCTCAAGGAGTCTTTGCTTCGGCATCCAAATGTTGCTGAAGAGACGCTTGTTTTTTTTCCAGGCTCGGTTGGCCACCGCAAATCCGGAAACCAACTCCGCCGGGTCCTGCCCGGCGACAAATGAGATGTGTTCAATTGGCGGCACGCCGTTGCCCGCCGCAGTGCGGCACATCTTACGGTACATCTCCGGCAGCGTCGCCCCGGCGGGGGGGACGAACTCCACCACAACGGAGCCCGGCGGCATCCAGACACAATTGGCAATTCCCCCACCATGCGGTGCGATGAGGATGTTGGTCTCCGCCATTGCGGTGATCTGATCCACGTATGCCATTTCCTCAAAGAAGACCCGTCGAAGGGGACGACCTGTCGCGGCAAGCACTGCTGCCTCAAGGGCAGGAAGCACCTCGGCCTCATTCACCACCTTGCGTCCACGCGTGATGTTGGGGTGATTGCGACTCAAGTACACCACCCTCGGCTGTTGCGGTAGCCACCGCGAGCGCTGCAGTTTCCATGCAAGCCATTGATTAAAAACTGTGGGCAAGCGCCCATCATAGTGTGGGATCAGGCACCGCAGCGTCGTCGCACGGGCGCTGGAGACAGTAACAGCCACTCGCTCCTTCCGTGCCACAAAAAATTGAGCGAGGCGGTGCCGTAGCGCAATACGCGGCAGCAACCAATGCCGAAGCGCCGCCTGATTAAAGCCGCTCGCACTAGTGCCCAAAATAACTCTTGTAAAACACGTTGGCGCCGTGAATTCAGAGGCGTAAAGTATCGGTACGGTAGTGAAGTAGTGCAAGAGCTCATCTAGCAAGTGGGGAGCCTTGGGCCCCGTGTGCGGCTTATGGTCAACGGTGATGATCACGGGGGATTCTCCGCCAAGGACCCCCGCTGCTCCTCGTCCACCGTGTCTCCCAAAGTCATCATGCAGTGTGTCAAAGAATGGCCCGAGGTTGTTCCACCACAAATGATACGTTGAGTGACCACTCATGCGGAAGATAAACACCACCGGCGCTGTGACCAAAAACGTGCAGTGAGACAAGATTGTGGGCTCCGTCTCGGTCGCTGTCGGGACCTCCCGCACTGGAGTTCCATAGTACTGATGATGCTTCCCCAGCCACTCCCGCACCCCGTCAGCGAGGAAAATCACAGACGGCAGTGCTCCCCGCCCAGCCTTGAAAGTGAATAGTTTTCCCTGGTGCAGGATTAGGTTCTCGACGTAGCACTTGCGCTGAAAGCCCCTTTTGACACAGTTCGCGCGCGTAGCTCCTCCGTGCATCGCCAAACTTCCGGAGCTCAACGCTTCACTGGGACAGGGAGGCTTGAAAGGCCCCCTGCCGTGGCTACTGTTGCTACTGCCGTCCACGGCACACATCGGGGCCAGCCGCAGTGTCTTCCCCACAGGCGCCACGAGCCAGTCGCAGCCCCATGTGGCACTAGGGGACTCGTTCCTCACTTGCGCGTCAAACGCGTCCTGCCAGTAGGGGAGAATGTCAGGTTCCTTCTCCGCAGCGTGCGGATGTGCGGCCGTCGGTTGTAATACCGTCGAGGTGTCCTGCCCGGGAGGCGCAAGACTCTCTCGCGGGGCCGCCAATTTGTTGTGGGCGAAGGCAACAAAACACACCAGCAGGATCACTGCGGCAAACGCCCGGAGGTGTCGCTGCTGCCGCTGCCTGTTCCACCTGGTGGCGGGGAGGAGGGCAGACTTGTCAACATCGTCCTTTCTGGCACGGCGCATGAAGCACCCACCTGAGAGTTCCACACGGAAATAAAGAGACACACACGACAGGAGGGAAGTCACCACGACGCTGAACAGACAAGTGGACGCGTTCAGTGCACACATGCATGCATGAAAGCCAATGACAGTTTCACTGCTCTTCCCCACCGTTACCCGCAACATTTCATCTCGCGAAAAGCTACTTGGAGGGGGTAGAGGGAAGAGCAAAGACTTTACACTCACCAGCACGCACGCACGCACACATGCATGCAGAGGCAGATGCAGTGAAGGTGTCAACTGCATAAAAACCGAAACCATAAAAAAAAAAAAGTATTCACAGCCGAAGACGGTCGCAGATCGAGCAAAATCATAAGAATAATAAAAGCGCAAAAAAAAAGACAAAATGAAAGAAAAAAAAACGATCATAACCGACAAAACACACACACACACGGACACGCACAAGCTGGTGTGTGTCTGTGTGTGCTGACGAATACCGCCTTCCCAACAAACGTTCACGCAAATAGCAGTAAAAGCAAACCAAAGTATAAATAACACACATCAAACTGAAATTTTGCCGTTCACCCTCCAACAGGCCCCTTCTCGTCTGTGATGTTTCCGTTCTTCATAAACACCACAATGACTCCTGTGGGGGTAAATCCAGGGGCAACGACACGGGACAGGCACCCCTGGCAATTCGTACACATTTTTAGACACGCACACAACACGCAGACACGCAGCCACATATGGGTATAAGAAGAAGGGAAAAAGACCCACCTGCATCCCCTAAAGGACTGCAAAACGTATTTCACCCCTCAAAGGCAACCGGCGAGCAACACACGCTTTGCCCAGAAAAAGCATATATATATATATATATATGCATATATGCATATGAACATGTTCCACGAATTCACAAAATGAATCTTCCCATTTTCACATAAAGCAAAGGGACTGCCCCTTCACCCTTCCACTTCTTCTGCATGCCTCAGGAAGCTGAGAGCGTCCAAGGAAGCGCAATAGACGACGGGATGGCTCACTTCACACGCCGTTATCTTTCTGTGTCTTCGCACACAAGGTCTTTGCCTCTGTAGCGCAGCTCCTCGCCAGAAGCAATGGGGCGTTGCGCCTTCATCGTCACACGACGCTCCCCTGAACGATTGAAGACGTTATTACCACACAATTCCAAGTTATCCAAGGACACTGCTGCCGAATAAAAAGACTCTACATGCTGTGACAACCTATGGCCGCTCCCATCCATGCCATGGGGAGCCGCCCGTGTATGCAGCTCATCGGAGTCGTGCGTAAGAGAGTTTATGGAGAGCATCGACCCCGCTAAGGAGTCTCCCATGCGCAGGTGCAATGGGTTTCGCGGGCCGGTTGGTGCGGCGTCCTTAAAAAACCGGGAACAGGACTCCCCGCCAAAGGCAGAGAGATCCGTAACGAGACTCGTCAGCGGTCCCATAACCGCCACCAAAACGGTGTACTGCCGGCAGACCGTCCTCCACCCCTCCTGCAGATGCTCAGGAATAGTGTCGTCCACGCCTACAGAGAGCACGCATCTGGGCACCACACAGTAGCTGGACACGCAAAAGTCCCAAAACTGCTCCATGAAGCGGCGTTTGCCGAGAAAGCCTAGGAGTCGGCCAAAGGTCCACACAGCAGGATGGCGCCCCGCAGACAACACGACTTTGCTGTGCTCCTCCGCCAACCAGACGGCCAGAGTCCCCACATCCATGACAAACGGCGGACGACGCGCGCAGCCCTGACCGCTGTCGCACGATTCCGCCTTGGAGTCCTCCAAGTGACTCTTCGTCCAGGCGTTACCCTCCTCGTCCCCGCCACCCACGCTTGCGTTGTCTGAGTTAAACCTCTGGACGGGTTCAGGCCTTATCAACAGGCTGAACGCCACCGCCTCATCGCATAGCCGGGACTGAACGATGGCGTCAATCGCACGCAATAGTTCCACCGCGCGATCAAAGCCACAACGCAAAGTATGCTTTGCCGCCACCGCCGCTGCACTAAGGGACTCATCTTTGCTTGTGTTGGCCACCGTAGGGGCTTCACCCAGTACTTCCCACACCGTGCTCGGTTGGAGCAGGTTTGTGTCAGCGAAAAACGGCACCCGAAGCTGCTGCAGCACCTCCTCCGCCAAACAAAGCCCGTGGCGGTCGTGTAAATCGGATGGAGACCGCCCGCCACTCGTAAACCCGCGTGATGCGTAGCGTTCTACAATTGTCCTTACGGCATTGACACGTTCCAGGCAGCTTTTCTCCACCCCGACAAAACAGTCTTGACCACGAGAAGTGATTTCAGTCCTTGTCGCGGCTTCCGGTATGAAGAGGCGGAGAACGCTCGCCAGCAGACGGCCGACAATGAGGAGTGCCGCGGTGGTGGCGTTGGGCGCCTTCTCCAGTATGGCGGTTCTCACGGCGGCGTAGTACGTGCTGAAGTGGGCACGAATGCCTGGGAGGACGGAGCAACAGGCCTGAATGGAATTTTTGTACGCCATATCACGCTCAGTCATTGTCTCCGTGCCGGAGAAGGTTGAGCCATCCTGCCGCAGCATCGGCCCATGCAACCCGCGCGAGGTGTGCACAGCGTCTAGGCGCTGCTGCTGATTGCGCAGGTGGCGAAAAAAGTTCATGAAGCCGCACATGCTCGGACGCTTAAGCGGAAGTGTCGCAAGCGGAAACAGTTCCAAGAGCGAGCCATGCGTCTCCTCCCTGCCAGAGGGCAAAATGAAGGGGACGACACCCCGCGTCCCAACCGTGTCCCCCGCAATGCCCCGTTCGTGGGGCGGAGGCGGTGGTGGCATCGCCTCCGCCTCGCCCGCAGGCGACATCGCGCACTCGATCCAGTGATACTCCAGCGCCGCGCGGTTGCGGCAGATTTCGTTACAGTAGTGCTCACCACACCCCGCCAAGCACGGCACAGACTTCTTCTCACTGAAGTTCCAGCAAACGCGGTCAGCCATAGCCTTCGACGTCCTCTCGCAGACCCCCGCCAGCAGCACGCTCCTCGACACAAGCGCGTGTCCGCAGTAGGCACAAAAGCGGGCACGACAATTTATCCATGAATCGGCGAGACCCGCATCCACCTCGGCGCAGGCCGCCGTGGACGTCACATGCTCACAACCGGGCATAGTCCAGAGTAACACCTGCAGGGGGACTTCCTCGGAAAAAACTATTTCGTTCAACTCAAAACTACAGGCAGCGCGCGCACGTAGGCAGCGTAGGAAGTACTCCATCGGCGGTGACGCGCCCGAGAGGATGCTCCGCAACGATGACGGGGGGACAAATGAAAAAGGCGGAGGGGTTATAAACGAGTTACTCAGCGTTCGCATGCGCACAGTCGTTGAACGGCATGTGGAACGGCGCATCTTTGCAAGGTTGGTTGCATCCCTAAACGATCCCACCTCCGCCACTGAAGCCTGACGCAGGCGTGGAGAAACATCCACCAAGCTGTGCTTACCAAGGTTGCGATGGTAGAAGGCACAGACGTAGGCCAATCGGGAAACTCGTGCAAATTGAGGATTGAGAACAGAGCAGCGCTTTACAGCCACTGCCGCTGTCACAATGGCTTCCTGTTCCCCACCAAGGGCAATGAAACCAGACATCAGTCGCGTATACGCCTCTATACATGTGCAGTCGTATGCAAGAGCCGTCACAGCATCCTCAACGCACTGTTCATACTGACCGTCTTGAAAGCGGAGGAAGCTCAAGAGGGCGTACAAGGGAGCGAGTTCCTTTAGTGCACTACCCGTGCGCCATAGGAATTGCAGCGCCGGAAGTTTATGAAGACCAACAGAGTGCAGATCGACGACGTCGGTTGGTGGCAGCCCCATACTGCTGCCTCCTTTGCCACTACCACTTCCGCTTCCAGTGCCACTTTGGGGGGCTTCCTCTTCATTTCCGGTGCTTAACATAAGTGGATGAAACTCAAGGCACGAAGAATTTTCCTTGTCGCGATGAAATACCATGACAAAGCGGCACCGCCGCTCCGCTGGAATAATGTCGTCGGTTCGCCGCCCTGCGTCGGTGCCTGGTGGCTGTAGATGGGTCTGCAACCCGGCGGGAGACGATCGCTGCGAGTCGTTTACGCCCCTGAAAATGCCTCTCTGTTTGGCAGCGAGGCTCCACCGCGCGTCGATTACCGCCATAATGTGACGCGCAGCTAACTTTAAGTCGCGGTTTGCGACGGCAGAGCTCACACACTCAAGTTTCTCGTGCTGTTCCAGGAGACTCTGTAACAGTGAGATGCAGCCGCTCCGCGTAACGGAGAGGGACACGTGCAGCACGTCAGGGACGTTTTCGCTGCTGCAGGGAGCCGTAGACGGCGTCGCGGTGCCGCAGGACCGCAGCTTCTCCATCTCCTCATGCGGCACGTGGGGTCTTTCCACTGCAGCGTTCTCCTGTGTGAGTGCCAAGACGGGGACGATGCCCATAACAAAGCGGATGGGCCCAAGAACGGAGCTGCCACCACTACCAAAGAGACCACCGGCGCTGCCACCGCCACCGCCACCGCCACCGCCACCCTCCCGCTCCGCTTCAGGCTCATCATGCGATGAAAAGACATCTATGCCACTGGGGCCTGTATCCTCCTCCGCATCCACGGCAATTTTGCCCCCGCCCTGTATCTTTACCCCATCATCAGCATCATCATCATCGCCATTCTTGCCGCCCACATTTCCTTCGGTCATTCCCTCCTCAGAACACTTGTTGGCGCGGCGGCTCCACACACCCGGTGGCAGGCAGTGGTAGGGGATGTCAAAACACACCAACAGATGCGTGTCCGTCTCACGCAAGACATTTCCCACCAACATGTGTCGCATTGCGCAGCGCAGGTAGAGCAAATCTGTCTTCTTGTCTTCCCAGATGAAGGCGTCGTGGTTGCAGTTCTTTGAGGTGAGCACCACACGGCTCCCCACCGTTGCTGCCAACGGAAGCGTTGGCGCTGGCCCACTGCGGTGAAAGGAACCAGAGCTAGAGTCGGACATGGATGCCGTGTATCCATGAAAGGGCAGAGAAAAGTCAGCCAACTGCATCTTCAATGTTTCGGAAGTTTATCACACAATTCACTTCTTCCTTTGTTTTAGTTTTGGTGCCTGATCCCCCACAGAAAACAAAAAAAACACACACACAAGTACAAGACGTACACCTCCTCTGATTGCTTTTGCAGACGCTTGAGGTCCTGTACTGTCCCCCTCCCCTTCCCCCCTTCTGCCCCCGAGAAGTATTCTGTGGCCTGGGTGAACCAGGAGTGCTATATATATATATATATAAAGAAAAAAAGAAAAAAAAACAACAACATAAAAAGCAAAAAGGGAGAAAGAGCGAAGAAACAAAAGCGGGGCTTGTCTCATGCACAGACGCACACAAAAATAGGAAAAGGAAATATAATAATAAAAAGATACACCCTCGCGGACACGTCACAGCGTCGTTGCCGCATGACATGGTAAACATGGCGTCGGCAAAGAGACATCTCAACTGCGACGCGGCTTCCAAGTAGGTAAAACAGTCGGTATATTCTCAAGCTCCAATAGACCGTCGGAGACTGCGCTGATAATGCCTGCGTCCAGGAACGTCGTCGGACTTTCGGGGCGAAACAGTGGGGACGCGGAGCGGCACGACCTCTCTTCAGGCGTGTGGGGGTGTGTGAGGGAACAGCTGGATGACATGAGGAGGGGCTCGCCCCGACGGGGCTCTGGAACCACCGCCATTGGTCCGCTTAGTTCAGACTGTGAAAGACCCTTCCAACCATTCAGCAGCGGCCCTCGCAGTTCCTGAAACGCCAGCCGCAGCTCTCGCATCTCCCCACTGAGCTGTAGTATGGCCTGCTGCAATCCTGCCATTAACTGAGCAAGGCCATCGACCTGGTCGGGGGGTGCAGGCATGGCGACAGTAGAACGTGGGAGGGCTGCGTGAAGGGCAGCGGACAGCTTTTCCTCCCCCTCTTCGCCCTGAGGAGGGTCATTAGGGAAATTCCTGCAGCACTCTGACACCACCGCTGGACCACGTTTTTCGCTGGTGCGAAGCAATACGGCTCGTCTCCCCAAAGAAACCTCCTCCCCACGACTATGGCTCCCAATGCTTAAAGACCTGGCGCCATCGCCATCGTCATCAACACCTCTACAAGCAAAACCAAGGACATGGTTGTCATTTGCATGGCCCGTCCTCGGTGGAGTTAAATCGCTTTTTCCATGACGAGCGGTGGCACCGCGCGACTGCCCACATTCCTCACGAGGGGACCAGGAGAGGGCACGGTGCACACGTGCTCCGTCGCTTCCCTCTGGCCACCTGTCCTCCGTCGCCGTTACCCGCTGCGGCACCGGTGATTCGTTGGGCCGCGCCGCCAATCGACTGCTGTGATTGTCATAAGACCACCACTCTGTCAGATGCGCTTCTTGGCCCGCGGCAGAAACAGGCGATGGGAGTTGCAGGAGGGGTGCAGGACTCGCCTCATGACACGTCTTCCTTCTCATCACCTCCGCGCTGCTGCTGGCGTTGGCTTCCCCTCCCTCCTTTACCCCCCTCGTCACTAATGGGGGTGGAGATATAAAGAAGAAAGAAACAAACAAAAACAGTGCAGGTGCGGGAGGAGGAGGAGGAGGGAAAGGGGAAAATAAAACGACATCCGTTGACGCACGCGATATTTCCATCCGCCCTCCGGCGTTCACAGGGAAACAGCAGAAGCAGAAGCAGACGGCAGAAGGGCACCACAAAGGTGTCACAGCAGAGACGTACTCAGAGGCAGTAACACGAAATCGCATATTTGCACAATCATTGCATCACTCTGTGTTGGATGCGGCGTCCGCCACCTTCTGCGCCACCCACGCCATCGCCTCCCTCAGAGACTCACCAGTCGCCGCGCTGCAGCCCATCAAGGTCCACGTGCGGTCCTGGACCGCCGCCAAATCCAGTGCCTCAATAAGCTCCACGGGGCTCACCGCCCCCGGCACATCCTGCTTGTTCGCCAGCACCAGCAGCACTGCCCGTCGAAGGCGTGGCTCCTCGTTCAGGAGTCCCTGCAACACATTTCGCGCGGTAGGGAAGCGGGCAGCGTCAGCGGCGTCCACCACAAATATGACGGCATCTGTGTGGTCATAGTAGAGAGACCAGGAGTCACGCAGTTGCGCCTGGCCGCCGAGGTCCCAGCAGGTGATTTGAACGGCGTTGTTGCTCGAGCCATGGCTGACGTTCAGCGTCTCCGCGTTGCCGCCAAGTGTCGGCTGGGTCGTGATGACGTGCCCAAGCTGCAGGTGGTACAGAATGGACGTTTTACCGGCATTACTGAGGCCTAGGATCAGCAGTTTGTAGTGGCGAGACGGATTGAACAGCGACCAGACACTGCTAAACAGGGAGCCCATGCGTAAATGTGCAAACAGATATATATATATATATACGTCTTTGTGCAACGCCGGGGCGGAGGCTCCTCTCTGTCCCTAAGAACACACGCCACGCCTGAACACGAGGAAAAAAAAAAGGAAGCGGAGATGACAACAACACCACGGGCGCTGTGGCTGTATTCACACAAACCGTTTTTTTTTTTTATTATTTCATTGCTCCGTCTTTTTTTTTTATTCTTCTTTACTTCCTGCAGGTGCAGGAAGTACTCAAGGAGACTACGAGGAGGAGGGCCACAGACAGACCCGCACCCAACGCCAGGAATCAGGGCCGTTGCTGCTACAGCTGCGAGTACGCTTGCCCCCCTTCCCCCCCTCCCTCTCTCTCTCCCTCCGCTAATCACGAGTCAAGCGAGGGAAGTAGCGCCCGCTTCCACACCCCTTCAAACTGACGCTCATCCCCACCCGTCCACACTTTGACAACCCTCAGTGTCAGCTGCCCCTGCGTGGGATGCACGGCAACCACCCCACACTCCACCACTGCCCCAATCACCACATTTGGCAGGCTGTGGAGCACCACGTGTGCGAACTGCAGTTCCGGGATGTAAATGTCCGACACATACCGGTACTCATGCTGTCGCTGCTGCCACCGACCACTCAGCGGTACCGTCCGTTTGACTCGTTGCAACGTCGAAGGGGTCAACTCACCACCACCACCGCCAGCCGCGTCGTTATCTGCGCGGAGGTGATCCAAGTGCGGGGAATCCATGAAACGTGTGTATTCGGGCGCACTCTCCACGCCACGTGTGTCGCCGACAAGACAAATAAAGCGATAATTACGATCTTTTGTGAGAATGTTACGCTCAATGTGTCTCAGTAACCAGTAGCGTTGGCTGTTATCCTGCAAAATCCTAGACTGCTCCTGCTTGTTGCTTATCATGGAACACAGCGTGGCCATGGTATGTTCTGCGATGGGTTGGTCAATCATCAACGCTGGTGCCGCTCCTTTCCGTGAGGCAAGGGACATGGCACGATGCATGTTCTCTGCGGAGGTGCGCCAAAGCCACACCTTTAGCTGGTGGTGAACCAACATGTCTGCGTAGCGCCGAAGCGGGCTTGTGCTGTGGGTGTAGTTATACGTGTTCATCCCGGCATGGTAAATGGGTGTGTGGAAGTAGACAGCCCGAGTGACGGCGCTCAGCTGCCGAATGGCGTGCTGTATTGCCTCCGCAAAATACACGTACTGCGGGTCCAGTGATGCCACCGATGCGACACCCTGTGGCTCCCGATACAGACGCGCCGCCTCGTGATCCATGGAAAGCTCCCGGGTGCCGCGGTAGGGGATTGGTATGTGATTTGCCTGCGCCACACGGGAGCAGACCTCGTTCGCGGCGATCATCATCTCCGCGACGGCCAGGCGGGCATCTTTGGTGGCAACCACCTGGTCCTCCACCGACAAGACACGTCTCGATGCCACTGTAATGTGAGGCTCCGGGAGGTTCGCGTCGATGAATTGCTCCAATGAACGCGCCTGACGCCCATCAAGCCGTTTACGTGCCGCAACGTGAATACGATGCAGGGCACGGGCGTCGTCTGCCGTGACCCAAGACGGGAGTGCAGCTGCCGCCGCCACAGTCGTTTCCCCCTCCTTGGCGTCGTACAGTGCCTGGACCTCGTCGTAGGTGATGCGGCGCAGCTTCTTCAGCCAGCCAACGCCGACGCTGTAGTTCTTCAGCTCCCCTGTCGCTTCATCAATCTGAAAGCGGATGTTAAACGTCCTACATGGCCGATCCTCGCGCAGCGTTGCCGCCTCCACAATGGGCTTTGGCAGCATAAAAAAGACCCCCTCCGGCAGGTACGTCGTTGTGGTCAGGAGCCGCGCCGTGACCTGCTCCAGCGGGCTGTCAAAAGGGCAGTATACGGTGGCATCCGACACGTACACTACAAAGTACTCCTCCCCGGTTGCGGGGTCCGTGTGCACCCCAATCGCGTCGTCCACCTCCGACGTGGTGGCGGAGTCAATGGCGTACGCCGGCCCCTCCATATACTGCCGAATACCGTCAAACGGGTCCCCGCCATCCTGCTGGAGCTCCTCCGTCAGGTAGCCCTGCATGTGCGCAAGAGCACTGGGTGGGTAGTGCAGCTCCCCCGCAAATGCCACGCGTCGTAAGTTGTCATCCGGCTCTACGTACTGCAGCGTCTGAAGAAGACACTCCATCTGCTGCGGATTCTCGACACTCTGCGGGGCGCCGTGAATGTAGGCCAGCACCCGATTCAGCTCCTCCAATGCCTCCGTGGCAAGAACGCCCTCGCCGGCGGCGTACCGTGCAAGAAGCCGAAAGATGCGCGCCTCGCTCACTGCATCTAGCGGCCACACCGGAAGCGACCAGACTTCCCCAAGCATGCGTTGCAGCCTAAGCAGCTCCTTTTCCAGCGCGGCACTCTCGCGCGTCAACTTGGGGGGAGGAGACGACGTAACGGCAGGTGTCCCACCGCCATTGGCGGACGCGGGGTTGTAGCGCTGCAACAAGGAGCCAAGGATGAACTTTCGTGTCCACGCCACATTTAAGTAGGATCCAGAGAACTGCACAAGTTTGACCACACGTCGTGGGACACTCATCTCTACGCGCCACTTATCTTTCAAATATGACCCGGCAGAGAAATAAAAAAAGAAAACGAAACACGGGAGAGTTTAACAAAAACAAATACATAAATATGTATATTATAATGTAATGGACATTGGTCTTCGCGTCTCCACGATTGCGCTGCAAAAGCAGCGCAACTGGAGATGAAACGTCTCGGCATGATAGAGGATGCCTGCTATTTCTCACCTTCACTGCTGCGTGTCTCCGCCTTCCCTCAATCGCGTCTCATTTCTCGCGGCTTCAACTAGTCTGTGTGGACATCGGCGTCTTGTTGATTGGCGCTAAATTGGCGCATGTTACGGAAATACACTGCCTTCTGCCGAAGCATCACCAGCTCGTCGTGCGCGTGCTGCTTGCTCTTCTCACCCTCCAACAGCCCCAGCGTTGGTTGTGTGTGAAGGCTGCCTCAAGCTGCTGAAGACGGTGTATAAAGTGGGCCGCCACCCCCCGCGCTCGCTTGTCTTGTTGTATGTACTCTGGGGACAGGCGGCAAAGAAGATTGTGCCGCTTCTGCTCGACGTGCGTGATCCAGTCGGCGAGGTGGAAAAACCGGCGGACCAAGTAGGCGTCGTAGACCGTCTTCACCGTGGGATGCAGGTCGGCGTAGACGCGATCCAACTCGGCGGCATTTTTTATCCCTCTGCTTCTTCACGTGGGCAATTTTTTCGTGAAAGTGCGGGTGGAGCGGGTCCTCGTGGAGCTTCTGCAGCTCGTCGGTGAGGGGACCGTAGCACTCGTAGCAGGTCCGCAGGCACGCGTACAGCCTAGGCATGACTGAAGTTGAGCTGCGTGTTGGGTTGCTCGTTGGTTGGGGGCTACTGCATGTGCCGCTGCAGGTACGTGTCGCTGTACCCGTCCCACTGCTCCGTGTTCAGCCACTGCCGCTGGTCGCCCTTGATGCGGGGCAGCGGGTCGACGCTCTCCGGCTGGACGATGTGCGGGTTGTGCAGGCATCGGTGGAACTGGTCGCTGGCCTGCCGCCGCCGCGCGGTGCGGAGAGGGCTGCACCAGAACTGCGACGCTGAGGCAGCGGCGGCGATGGAGGTGCGCATGCGGGGCCGCAGGCATTCGGCACGCAGGTCCACCGGCATTAGTTTCCTTCGTACCCCAGAAGCCCTTCTGCACTGGTGGACTCAAACACAACGCTGCTCACGCTCGCAAAAGGGAGGCTGAGATGAAGAGAAACGGGGGCGAAAAATAATAATAATAATAAAAAAAAAAAACAAAAATGAAAATAAAAAACAAACAAACGGGAAAAAAGGCAGACACACGCACAGAAAAACAGCAAACACCCACTACCCACCCACCTACGAGAACTTGCGAGTTGAAGCATCGCCTCTTCCTCTCCTTCTCGCCTGGAGCGCTCTCACATGCAACCCTTGTTTTTTCTACCGCAGGCAGGATGGGCCACGATCCGTCGTACAATTACTTCCGCAAAGCAGCTAAACTTGCTCACGCACCCCACCACCAGTCTCTTCGAGTAGCACATTGTTTCCCTAAACACGCACTAACTTCCCCTCTCCCTTTCCTCATAGAGACCCTCACTACCACAACTCTGCTCCATGGATATTAACAATACACTCTTCCTATCCTTTCTTCCCCCTGGAAACTACCCCCCACCCTCCTCCGCTTCTACCGTCAGTTAACATCTACTCCCGCCCATAAGTTCGCTCTGCCGCGTTGTGGCGTGGGGCGTTGGAGCGGCGGAAGAAGACGTCACGGTGGCCCATCTCCTTCGTCTGCTTGGCGTCGTGAAAGTGGGAGTAGATGTCGTTGAGGGGGGGAGTGTAGTACTTCATCGACTGCGGGTTCTCCGTCGTGCCAGCGCTCTCCCACATCTGCTGCAGCAAACCACCCCAAACCGTACGACCCATGTTCCACGCCGCCTGATCAGAGCGTGGGCGGCGCCACTCGCCGTATTCGCCAACCATCCGCAGGATCGGCTTGCAGCTGCCAAGCGGCGCATCCCAGGCGTTACTAAAGGCAAAGGGAGTGTCCCCATCCATCTTAAAGCGCTGCACCCGGAATATTCCGTGACCCTGAGAGATAGTCATACTCTCCACAACATTCTGGTGCACCCGCATTCTCGCCTCGCGAGTGTGGCGGCGTATCCAGTGCGGCAGGAAGAACCCCTTGAACTGAATCCCACGTGCAATTGCGTCCATCTTCGCAATCTGCATTGGCTTCCCGCTGGTGCTGCCATACGTGACGCACACCCCATTGTCGCCTAAGAGGTTTACAACACTAGACGCATAGTTACCGCAGGTGTGGTTCAGCAGCAGCTTTGGTGGCGGCACATCGGAGAGCAGGCGGCGCATGTAGTTGGTGCGAACATAGTTGTACGGCACCACTGCAAAGGCCCCACGAATCTTTAAAAAAAAAATCACCAGCTGTGCGTGCTCGGTACGCCCAAGCTGCATGGTCTGAAACAGCTTCGCCCCACGAGCCCTAAGATACCCTTGACAAATCTGCGCCACCGACGAGGAGGCGCCTGTCTGCAGCACCACATCGTTCGGCTGCAGACTGACAAAACTGTTTGTCAGGTGGTACGCGGTGTGGAACAGCGAGAGGGAGGCGAGGTACTCAATGTCAACTTCGGCGCGGTTTGGCACGGCGTCGAGGTTGTCTGCATCAGTCACAATGTGCGTCGCCCATGTGCCGACTCTCGGGTTGTTCACCCAGACAAGGTCCCCTTCCTGCAGGTTAAATGTGGCGCTGGCGCCGACCTCCTCCACCACGCCGACGCCCTCGACGCCGGCCACCTGAGGGAGCCCCAGCGGTTTGATGGGTCCGTAGTTCCCCGAGATCATGTTGCGGTCATGCCAATGCACGGGGGCCGCCAGCATCTTCACTACCACCTGCGAGCCACTACGATTGAAGGGGACACGGAAGCGCTCGTACCGCAGCACCTTCTCTGGCTTGCCGGGCTTGTGGTAGCGTCATCCCGCCACAGCCACGGTGCGCACCGTTGGAAGGCCGTAGAGGGAAGTTGTGCGCCACATTCTTCTCCTAATATCCCTTACTCTTGTTTCCTCGTCTGTTTGTTTGCTTCTTCTTATTTATGTGTGGGCTCACAGTTAACCCTATCCCCCTTCCTACTCCTGCTACTGCCACCGCGCACGTGAGACTTCTAACGCAGTGAAGCGTTTTTTTTTTTTGATACTGGTGCACTAAAATACCTCAATAACACAGAAAGGATAAACTGTAAATAGGGGGAAAAAATACTAATGACAGGCAGGAATCCACCGGGTTCGCCAACACCACACACTGCAACAGCGCATGCGCGTGAGTGACAGGGAACATCTATATATAGTTTGTGCTCTTTTTTGGCTCGGCTGAGGCTATATTACATAAAGGCATATGCCCCTCTTTCTCTCCTTTTTTTTTTGTTGTGCGCGTGTGGGTGTGCCTCTCTCTCCTCCCCCCCCCCTATTCAACCTCCACTCCAGCGCAAACGAACGTCGTGCAGTAAGGTACGTGTGCAATGCGAGCTGGAGGCAAACTCCAGGGGTGAGTGGGGAGAAGCAATAAAACCAATAAAAGAAAGGCCTGACACGTCCCGGATCCGTATTCCTGCTCCACAGCTACTACTCAAATAAACGCGGTAACACGACTGAGGGTCTCTGCAGCACGAGACCCAGTGGTTGGCGGTGCGGCAAGGTTGCCAGTTGCTTCGTGACAGAACGGCTCCCTTCTGGGTAGGTGCTACTTCCGCCTGTATGCAGCGGATCCGTGTTGAGCTGCGGAAGATGCAAATTGTTGTCGACTCCTTGCCTACTCGTCACCTCATCCTCCGGAAAGGCGTAGGGGCCACCGCCGTTGTTGTCCCTGCTCCACATGCTTTCCTGGAAATTCACCAAAGCCGTGGTGACGGCCGCCACCCTTTTGGGGTCGGTGCAGAAGGTGTCACCTCCCATCTCATTGGAGGAATTGGCCCCACCAACCGTCGGCCCCGGGGTATTTCGCGAATTAAACGGCATGGATGCATTACGGGCCCATGACTGAACTTCACTTCGTTGTGGCTCCTCCAGTTCCAGTTCCTGCTGTTGAGAGTTTGACTTGTTCGTGTCCTCCGCGCCAATCTCCCGCGCCGCCGCAGCCCCGGAGGGCGAAGCGGTGGGGCTACCGCCAAAAGTTGGCATCGCTGAGCCCGGCAGGCGCCCCAACGAGGCATCGGCAAAGTGCGATATCGCTGCCGCGGAGCGGTCCTTGGTCCCTGAGTCCAGAAGCTGGTCCAAACGCTCCTCAAAACTGCGGCGGCGCAGCTGCGCCGCCTGCTGATCGCGTGCAATCTCATCCGCCAGCTTCTCCGTCAACTGCTTATTCTGCCGCTGCAGCCCTGTGAGCGCCTTACTCAGCTCCTCCAGTTGGCTCTGCATCAGCGACCGTTGCTGCTGCAGTCCGTCAATGTCGGCTTCCAGCGGCTGGGGATCAATAATGCCGCCAATCGCCACCTCCTTCTTTTTGTCCGCCTCAAGGAACTCGGCCTCCCGGGCACTCTCCTCGCTGAGGGTGAGGAGGGCCTTGGGAAACTTAAGGCCACAGATATGTTCCAGCAGCGCAATCTCAGAGTGATACGTCTCAAAGCGGTACGCCACTCGAATGTCGGAGAGATGCGTGCGGGAGGCGTCGTTGCTGCGGCTGCTTGAGAGAAAATAAAGATCCCCGAGACGCTCACGCTTGAAGGCGGTGTCGAAGCCAGAGAGCAACACACTATTGCGGGCAATCTCACACATGTCATTCGGCCCAAGCTTCCACACCTTGGAGGCGATGGAGTACTCCTCCAGCAGCGGCTCCTGCGTGTGATGAAACATCAGCGGGCTGTCAGTGCTCAGCGAAACCATTAGCCCCCGTCGGAAGAAGTGCGGGAAGGGGTTGTCAAGGTAGCCAAGAACCTTGGTGTTGTTGCTCAGCGGACTCACCGTCACGCCGATCCGTGCCAGGTAGAAGAGGTATTGCAAGGGGGCATCGTCGGCAAGGGTGACTCCGTAGTTAATGGCATTGGCGAGGAGGAATCCGCCAATAAGGTGGTCCACCGGCCCCGTCTCCCCGCAGCTTGGGCGGAAGGTGAAGGTGGAGAACTTGCGCCGCTGTCGGAACTCGTTGAGAGAGTAAATGTTTGCCCACATATGATACATGTAGTAGTTAAACGGTGGCTCTTCCTCAGAGGTCCACTCATGCGGCGCCTTTGTGGCAATGTGTAGCGGTGTGTCAGGTCGACGCTCATCCTCGACGCAGTCAAAGCCGGAGATGTGGTTGATAAAGTGGAAGAGGCGTGGGTCTTTGCTGGGGTGAAGTGAGACGTCCCAGAGCGGCTTGAAGATATTCTCAAGGTACTCTGCAAAGGTGCTCACCTTGCCGCGCTTACGCAGATAGCTATAAATGCGTGGGACCTGCACCATCCACTGATTGTGGACCGACGCCATGCCGTGGGTGTCAAACCAATCCGAGAGCAGCCCCCACTCCTTGACGTTAGCGCCGTAAATCGGCAACCGATTCTCTGTAAAGGTGAAACGATCGTGTTTAAAGTTCTCAAACGTTAACTTCGTCAGTTCGGCAAAGTAGCGCCCCTTCATTTGGTTGTCGGTCTTGAGCAGCAGCGTCAGCAGCTCGTCGCGCCCCTCGGGAGTGTACTGTGCCCCCGCCACACCAAGCGTTGCGTCCGCCTGTACGTTGAGATCATCCACGGTGAGTGTATTGGGGGAGATATTCAGCTCCTGCAACAGCTGCCGCAGCGTCTGAGGCTCCTTCCCCTCCTGGTGGGACACAATGTCGTCCGCGTTGTTGTTTGCCTTTGACACGATAAAGTTTAGCAGATAGCGCGCCGTCATGCAGGTTTCCACGCGGATGTTGTTGTCCACCTTGGTCGCCTGGTAAAAGTCGCGGTTCTGTGACGCCTTCTTGGTGGTGGTGCCAGCCTCCAGGCTGCGGTTCACCGCGAGGTGCAGCATAAACTTGTGCTCCAGCAGGTCCAGCCGCCGGGTCGCGAAGTTGCGCACGTGGATGTTCTCCAGCACAATCCGAAGCTCCTGCACGTGTGCACGGAAGTCGTCATAGTGGAACATCTCCTTCGGAAGCCGCGGAATTTGATGCACCTCGTGTGGCACCAAAACTCCCTCGACGGTCTTAAACATCCACTCATTCTCGTCAAACGTGTCGTCGCGGCGAAAGGCGCTCTCAATCTCGTGCGGGTTCAACACGCCCTTCCCGTCGATTACCTCCCTGACGCGGTTGAGACCGGCGTAACGTGCCCGCAGCTCCAGGGCACGGTGCAGGAGTTGGGTCACTGTCGTGTGAGAGGGGTCGCGCTCCGGTGGCCTGACAAAAACCACCCGCGGGTACTCAACCCTCGGGTCCAGCACGACAAATGGCACCTGACTCGCCGGCACAGCGGCGGAGTTCGTCACCGAACTCGTCCCCGAATATTCGCCGGTGAAGGTGGCAGGCGCCGCACTGGTAGCATCGTCCACGCGCGACTGCCGCCGCGCCGCTTCAACTATGATGTGAAGTTCAGTCTGCCACATGTCCTGCCGCAGCTCCAGGCGGGCGGTCGGCACTTTGCTGTATTCAAAGAGATTTCCCTTCAGTCCTTCCGTCAAGAAAGCCTCACCCAGCCATATTACCTTCGTGGAAAGTGGAAAGGACGACAACATGACGGAGTTCAGCGCAATCTCGCATATGTCAATGCCGGAGAGCTGGTACAAGCGACTCGCCGTGCCGTACTCCTCAATAAGAGGTTCCCGCGAGAAGTGAAACAACAGCGGCCAATTCGTGGCAAGAGAGACGTTCAGTCCACGGCGGAAAAAAACATGAAACGGGTTCTGCATGTAGGGAAGCCCCAAGCCATTGTTGCTTAGCGGCGATATCACCATGCCGATGCGTTGGATGCCGTAGAGGTACTGCAGCACGGGCTGCTGGTCGAGTATGACACCGTTCATCACACTATCGCAAAGAAGGTAGGAGTAAACAAGGACGTCCATCTGACTGCTGCGTCCACCAGCAGCGGCGCGTAGCTGAAGCGTGCAAAGCCCCTTGCGACGCCGAAACGCGTTCAAGGAGCAGAGATTCACCCAGATGTTGTAGGCGAAGTAAAGGTCGCAGACATTCTCCGACCAGGAGACCTCCGCTGGGCGCCTCACCTTTCGCTGAAACTCACTTTCGCGCTCCTCCTCATCTGAGACAATCAAAAATCCACCGATGCGAGACAGAAAAGAGGCCACCTGCGTGTTTTTGGGATCCTCTGGGGCCAGTGTGGCCATGAACAGCGGCAGAAACAAGTTTTCAAGATGCTGCTGATAGTGTTCGAGCGACTCCCCCGCCATCTCTTTCCGCATCTGTCGCCGCGGTAATGCAATGAGCCACTGATTGTTTGGCTGCTCATCCAACCCGTGGCTGTGGATCCAGTTCGCCGTCCTCTCCCAGTCGTCTGGGGAGAGGCCGCAGATTTCGATGATGCTCTCCGTCGCCTGAATGCTTCGCCGCCGGGAGCCGTTGAGAAAGAGAATGGGCCGCACCGCCTCCGCAAAGTGGCGGCCCTTGTTCAGCGTGTCCGGCGTGAGAAAGAGGCGCAGCAGCTCCGCGCTGTTGCGGCCGGCGTGGTTTAACTCGGGGTCCAGCACATCGTAGCGGTAGAGCCGCTTTTCGTTGGGCGGACTGAGGCCGAGCCCGTCCACGCTCAGCTTGGCGGGGTCCGCCAGGTCCAGCTGCTCACAGACGGAGCGCAGTGTTTGGGGCTCCTTCGCGTCCTTGGCAAGGTACACCACCTCATCCCCCTCCATCTCCATCGTCTCTTGGATGTACTCCACTAGCCACTGCGAATTCATAATCGAGGCGAGGTAGACGCCGTTGTCAACCTTCGTGCTGCTGGAGAAGACGCCACTGTCGCGGCGGTAGCGGTCAGGGTTCTCAAGCTCGCTGTTGCAGAGCTTGTAGAGGTTGTACTTCTCCTCCAGCACGTGCAGCCGCTGGGAGCAGGCAAGGCGGCAGATGGGGTGCTGCAGGGTGACGTACAACGCCGTGACATCGTCGTAAAACTGCTCCCACGGCACAATGCATGTGCGTTGATCGCTGAACTGAATGCAACCGGATTCAAACGAGAGTGCCACCGGTGGCACAAGCCGCTCCATCCCCTCTTGCTGCCCCTTGTCGACCGCCTTGTACTTCTCCCGCATCCGGACCGCGTTAAGAAGATGCTGACTGGCCTCCTGCATCTCAATGCCGCCCGTGTCACTGGCAAGCCGCACAACGTGCACGTTTTGCTTTGCCGCCCCGTACCGCAGGTGATTCGGGAGGGAGCCTCTACGCCGCGCTGAGCGCCTTCGGTGGCAAAAGACGGGAGGCGCGCACTGTACTGCGCTGAGCGGAGACATTATCTGCAGCATCCCGCCACCGCCACCCTCGCGCTGCGCACTCGACGACCGAGGATTGCTACCCCGCAAAGCTACGCCGTCGACATCGTAAAGCGCGAACTGCATCGCAAGGTGGCTGCTGGGGTCAAACGTCGGGCTCTGCGGGGAGTCGCGGCAGGGTAACTCGTCGTCCTGCAGCGACGCCTCGGGGTCGTTTCCCGCCGCCACCTGCCGCCGGTCCATCCGCCACTGTTGTTGTTGTTGTTGTTGTTGTTGTTTTGCTTATTTGTTTCTTCCTCTCTGACTCTCTCTCTGACTCTTTCCCTCTGTTGCTTTCGGAGGGCGAGAAGCAGGTGCCAGGAGAAGGGCCTGACGGCAGAAAGACCGAAAAACAAAAACAAAAAAAGCAGGCCACAGACATTCCCACAGAAATACCACCGCCGCCCGTAGCAGCGGTGTCACACACCACCTGTTGGCCACCACACCCACCTTTACGTACCCACCCACCCACCAACCATTCATCACCGTCGGCAACAACAAAACGGGATGCCTCCAAGCACAGACGCGCTGCCAAGATCGAGAAGAGAGAGAAAAACATCCTCTCCCATATGCGGCCAATGATAGAATTAGATATCTGTGACTCCCACCTCGGCGATGCCGGCGTCCATGTAACGGATTGGCTTCTTTGCGTGTGGCGGCACAGACTTTGCGCCACCGCAGGTGTAGTCAATATCGATTGGGCATTCCCACACTGAACGCCCAGTAAGGAGAACCTCACGATCCACGTAGTCAACGACGTTGCTGTAGTTGTACCGCACAATATCAGCCAAGTGCTTCCGGGTGTACTCGCTGTACTCGTACTTCCATTGGGGAACGTGTGGCCACTTCATAAGCGTCTCCTCCCGCGCCTTTTCGCGCCGCAGCGCCTCGAGGAAGACAGGGTCAACCTTGGCGTACGGCTGTGGCTCACGCTTGTGCTCCACAACCTCCAGCACCTCAGCCCCATCAATGCTCTTGATGCCAAGCGACTGCGCGTACTCGAGACCGTCGCCTCGGTCATACGTGATGTACGCCTCCCATGGTCCCTCAATTTCGTCCGGGTGCGTCGGCCGAGGCACCTCCTCTACGCTCGAGTAGCGTGGTGGCTGCAGCGTGATATTCGGGAAGTAGCCAAGTTGGATGACTGTGCGTGCGAGGTACGAGCGACGCTCCTCCTTCAGCCGCTCCAGCGGGTTCTTAGGTGGCGGCGGCGGCCGCTTGCTCGCTGGCACCGGTACGCGTGCCGCCACCACTGCCCCATCGTCAACCGCGTCCGCCTTCTGTTCGCCATCACCACCAGCAGTGCCACTGTTACTACTGGTACTGTCATCCTCACTATTATGATCTTCCTTCTCAGCATTGCGGGCTAACGCCTCCGCGACAGCGTCGTTGGCAAACACCCCTGGGGCCAGCTCCACGCTGGCGTAGTCGTACACGCTGGGTGATGCCGACCACTGGTGGTACGCCTTAACATCACTCTTCTCGGCCATGTACTGCGTCCACAGCTGCTCCGCTTCCTCCTTCTTCCGCAGCACCTCGTCTGGCAACTTCAGCTCCACCCGCACGACCCCCTTGTGGGCCTCAAAGACGTCGTAGCGTCCGAAGAGCTCCCGCAGCCGGTCCGCCTCAACGCGGCGGCTGAGTGTCACTTTAACGACGACAGTGGGATCGTGGGCGCCCGGTGGTGGCGGGGGTCCCGGCGGGTAGCGGTAGATACCGCGCTCCATCCGTTCCTGAAAAATCGCGATGGCCTGCGCTGTCGCCTCCGCGTCGCGCTCCTTCACGACACGCTTAATATTTTGCATCGACTCCTGCACCATCTTGAGCCGCGAGGGGGCAGGCATCGCACCGAGTTCCTCTTGGTGACGCAGGTAGTGCTCTCTCATGGAGTGCAGCATATTGCGCTCCTTCAGCAGCAAAAACCAGATCTGCTGCAGATCCGCAAGGCTCTTTCCGCGAAGGCTCTCAAGTGGCCACGCCCCGCCCGGTACCGGAGGCCGCCTGTTGTTGAGGAAATTACTATCGACAAACTCGTAGAATGCCGCTGCGTTTCTTGCAAGGCGACAGCGGTGCATCCCAACAAGGTGACCGAAAAATCGAAGAAGCAAAAAAAAAAAAAACTCTCTATGGCCCAATGTTTGTGCTGTGGCAAAACGGTCTGAGGCGTCACCGGCTGCCACGCTTCGCTACCCTGCCCCACACCCAAAGAAGAAGGAGGGAAAGAGGGAAAGAGGGAAGGACATTGCGGTTAAGGAGCACACCAGCGGTGGGGCGCGGTCCCGCCACAAGAAGAAGAAGTAACACACAGAGAAAGAGATAGATAGAGACTTGCAAAGCAGGCAAAGACAACTAGACGTAATATGTGGCTACCCAAAGCAAATATATAAATATATATATATTTCTTTTTATTATTTATTCCTTTGCTCTGAGGCAAACATCTTTTTGCACATGCGGCGTTCCTTCTCCAGCGCCTCACGCCTGGCAGTCGAAATTTTGCCACGTAGTTCTTGGAAGCTGGGATCCAGCGGCGCGTTTTCATCCTTGCAGAGGCGCTCCAGGGCATCCAGGTCCGCCTCCGCGGCCACAAAATCTGTAAGCGAGCAGTTGCAGAAGGCGCGCCGCAGGAGCGCCTTCTTGTCGTTCGCGCACCCGGGAAGGGCAAGCACGGCAGTGGCACACTCCACCCCCTTCGCGTAGCGTCCAAGACGATAGTTCACTAGCGCCAGGTTCTTCTGCAGCGCGGCGTACAAATCCACCACTTCAGTGAGCTGTTTCTCGTCTAGTGGGCACCTTCGGGCTCTTCGCTGGCGGCTTACTAACATGTCCTGAAGGTTCTCCTCCACACCGTCCGTCGTCTCGGGGAGATACTCGGCGAGGTACATGCACCCCCTTTGATAGCTGAACACCGCTTCACGCAGCTTCTTCTCGTCGATGGGTCGAGTTCCCTTTACCTGCTGAACGGCGTTGCCTCTTTCCTTGGCAGCCTGAGCCTCCTTAAGACGCCAGTTGTAGGCATCCTGCTGCTGCAGAGCAAGCCCCTTCCCCGTGGAACACATCTACACCCTCGCTTACCTCCTCTCTTTCTCTCTGTCACTCCTCCCTTTGCTCGGGTAATGTGAGAGATCCTTCAGAGTCTCAGTCTTCCGCCAAATAATAGGACGCGTAAAGACGGAAACAAAATCGGCCCAACAGAAAAGGAGCAAAGAGAAACCGTGTGCGCGCCGACAGTACAACCAAAACCTCAGGTTCATGCTTCTCTCTCTGTGAGCGTATGGATATCTCCTTTTGCAAGCAAGCATGGATCCTTACCAAGGGTGGTTAAGGCTACCGCCTCCTTCCACGTCCCCCACCCCCCTCCCAGTTTTTATTTTTATTTTTGTGTGAATGATCCACAAAAAAGGCAACAAACGTGGTGGCACACTTACATGTGATCTCTGCCTCCTCGTTTCTCCTCCAGCTCCTGCAACCAACACAGTGCGCGTCGCATGTCATCCGGCAACGGGCACTCTACGACCGTCTTTTCCGAGTTCGATTCCCAGACATGCACCGCGTCCACAGGCGCATGCCGCGCAGTGTCAAGGGGAATCGGCAGGAGCGTAATACGGGACGCATGTAGCGCGGGCCGAAGAAGCCCCATTCGTTCTCCCTGTGCCTTTGCCCGCGCGTGATAGCGACCATCACCAACCAGCGGATGCCAAAGCTGGGCAAAGTGCTGACGGATCTGATGCCGGCGTCCGCTGCGAAGCTGCACCTCCACGTCATACACCCCACTGGCGGGGTAGTAGCGCAGCACACGGTACACCGTTGTCGCCGGACGCCGGTCCATGGATGCAGGCGGCAGTCCTCGTTTTCGCTTGGTGTCGTGGGCCGCGAGCTGCAGTGAGTAGTCGGCGCCATTGGCAAGGACGTTGCGTGTGATAACGCCTTGGGGGTTGAGGTACCAAAACTCCTCGCGCCCCATCCGCGACGTCGGCAAGGGACAGCGCAGGACGAGGGCCCGGTATGTCTTCTCCACGCAACGGTCCACGACACTGGCACGCCGCGTTGCCACCAGTGACGGCTCCGTGTCGGTCACCAGCACCAGGCCACTTGTGCCCACGTCTATGCGGTTGACTAGCCCGTGTTGGAAGAGAACGGGAATATCGACTCCCTTCCACGGCACACACCGAGCGAGAAAATTGAGGAGGTTAGGGTATACCGCGTGCAATGTCGTGCTCACCCCGGCCGGTTTGTTCACCGCCACCACACCAAACGGTAAGTGGCGTGCGACAATGTCAGGCTTGGCGCCGGGCTCCGTGCGTTTCCCCTGCGACGACACCGGCACCGCCAGTTCCTCGCTCTGCCGCTGTCTTTGCTCCTCGAAGTATCGTGCCGCCTCGAGGAGGTCAACGACCATAAGGCGTAGTCGCAGCTCCGGCACGCGGTACGACACTGTAGGGCAGCAGTGGATGCCAAGATGGGGTTCCCGTTCCCGCTGCGGCTGCGTGACGCGAAAGAACTTCTCCGTGGTTGTCGTGGGGTACTTCGTTGTGCGGCGAATCGAACGACCCACTAGCAGCGCCTCCGCCCCGTTCCACCCCGCAGCCCAATCAACAGAGGTTGCGGTAATGTAGCGTTCATGGTAGATGCCCTTGAAGTACGGCGCGACACCAAGGGCCTGCTCGGCAGGCACCACAAAGTACACAAAACCAAGTGCACGCAGCGCGTCTGCGGTGGCAGACGTTTGTTTCTTTTCACCTGCAGCGGAGTAGCGCGGGAGGAGGTGGAGGAGAACTGCCGTGAGCAACGCAGATGCCACTTCTGGAGAGAGAAGCGGAGGCCCATACATGTTTGTCTCCCGCACGAGGATGTCCAGCAGTCCCACCAGCGTCTCCACCTTACTGCAGCTCTCAATCCATGTGGAGACGTGGTAGTTCCGCAAGCTCGCGGCCTTACACACAGCGAACTCCTTCAATGCATCTGGGTCACGCCGCAGCTGCTCCAAGATGCAAACGGCAGGCTGTGAAAGATTGGAGCCTGTCACCATCTCATCCTCTGCGTCCACTGCATTTTCTAACGACCCCCACCACAACCGACGGCACGCAACCTCAACTGGAATCCGCCGCCGTTTGCGTACATCGTAGAAGTGACGGAGCGACGGTGGACGCAAAATTGTGCGCACCGCCTCACGCATCACTGCCGGTGGGGCCAATAGGTTGCCTAACTGAATGAGCAAGTCTGCAGTGTATTCCTGAAATGCAGCATAGTATGGGACAGGGGAAAAGAGTGTGTAAAGCGTCTGCATGCGGACCCGATGTAGAGCCTCTTGGACGCCTCCCAGCCGTTGTTGTTGCGCAGCAGCGGCAATGGTGCTGAGCAGGAGCCACGGGGCAAGCTCCTTCGCGAGACAACGCCGCACGTACGGCAGCATAGCCGCACCTGTGCCCTCAAACCGCACGATGGAGTGTGGCACATGCTGTGGAAGCTGAAAAAGAATCCACATCTTGCGGCGCAGTTCCACTAGCGCGGAAGCAGAGAATTTTTCAGCGTTTCCCTTGCTTTTTATCTTCCCTCGCGCATCGGTGATGCCACGACGCGAGTGGAGACCTGCTGTGGGGGGCTGACGCAGCAGCTCCGCTTCGGCTGGTGTCTCAGCAGCAGTGAGCAGCGCATGCGGGACGCGCCCAAGACGTGCTGCGGTGCTGTGCACCCACAGCTTGCCCTTCATAACAACAGGGCGCGGCCTGTTGAAGAACGTAGCCAGAACATCGGCTGTCGACGGCGCGGCGTCCCCACTGGCGAATTGACGCTCTTCCTGCGCCTCACCTAGGACACAAACCACATCCGCATTTAGTGCGGCGTCTGCGCCGGCATCGTCCTCGTTCTCTGCCTTTTGCTGCTCAACCGGGGCTTTACGACGTCGCAGCGCGTTGGAGGCAATGCGCTCAATGTGATGCAAGACGTCTTCCCAGCGCCCCTGCAGGAGCAGCTCCGCAAACGCGGCGTCGACCCCTGCGGAGGCCTCATTGGACGTCATCAGCGTCACCTTTCTGCCCTCTACGTGAATGCGGTCCTGCTCCGTGCGATCGAGCCCGCAGAGCTCAGCAAGCTTGGGGTCTCGCTGCTCCGCCTTACGCGCGGCCACCCACCACTGCTGCAGCCGCGTCACGACGGCGTGTTCGGCCGTAGTGCCCAGCACCAGTGAGGCTTGGCCGTCGTCGTTGTGTGTGAGCCCTGGCACCTGCATCCGCTCACCAAAATGCTGCGCGTACTGCTGTAAAACCTCCGCGATATCGACAGAGGAAATATGCTGCTGTGGCCGCTGCTTCTTGGACAGCTGGTGCTGGCCGCGGAATTGCATTGCCCACGAGAGCACCGCAAGGCTTCGCTCCCACGACGCATCGGGGCTGGAAGACCGAAGCAATGGCAACACCATCACGCGAAGCAGATCACTCCTGTCCACCATACTTTTTTGCGACTCCCCCCGTGTGGGGGAGCATGTCTTGCACAACGCCGCCCACTCTTCTTCCTGCCGCATGGCCAACTTATGGTGCACTAGTAAGTCGACATACGCCCGTGCACCACGGCGTCGAACAGAGGCCTCCAGATTCTTCGCACCTGCAGGGCTGCTGTGACTCGAGGGAATCACTCGAAGCGGTGCGAGCAAAAGTACTTTCGCCACGTCAGATTGCCGCGCGACAAACTCGGCTTGACTGCAGCGAAAGCCGGCGTAGAAGACCCACTGCTGTAGCGCAGCATGCAGCCTTGCCTGCTGCCTCTCAACGAAGCTTAGGGAAATCTGTTCTTCTTTGTTTGCTTCTGGCGGCACGGCCTCACTTGCCTCCACGACGCTCGCCAGATGCTGCAGCGTTAGAGGAGATGCAGCATCTATGGACTGCGTCCCTCCCAGGTAAGGCCCATGACTCCCGTGAGATTGGGCTGGGCCCAGCGCCGCTGCTGTCCAGCGCCTCGCCGCTCGCTCTTGAAACGCCGCCGCGTGATGCAAGGCCTCGTCCAGCATGCAGCGTGGACCGTGCGGTGCAGGTATGCCGGACCGTCGCTGCAGCACATTCCGCAGCCCGCGTCCTACTGCCCGCACGTAGCTGCGGGGTATGGCAACGTGGCCGTCAAGCGATAGCAGTGACCTGCCGTGCGCCATGAGTCTAAAAAATTGGCAAGAGCGTCTTTTGTGCCCCCCTCCCCCTTTGCGCCTGCGTGTCTGCGCAGAGGCGATGTGAGGGAACACCTCCCCCCCCACCCAACACACACAGACACACAGATAAAACGAGGGCGTGATGAGGCAGCGGCGGTTGCCGTACAGGAAAACAAAACCCAAGCAAATAAAAAGTAAAATATTGATTCAATCAAAGAAGCGAGAAAAGCACCCAACTGTTGCTGCGGCATCCCCCGACTTCTTCATCGTCTTATCCGTCCCACCACCCGGGGAGGAGGGCGGAAGGCGGCGCCGCACTACACTTTCATTTCTTACGCTTTTTTTTTCGCTTTTGTTCCTCTCCACACCAACAACAACAAAAAAAAGCAAATAAAAAAAAACACAAAAAAACAAAAACAAAAAACAAAAAAAACAACAACAAAGACGCGTAGGCAGTTCCTTTTCCCCTGCACGTATACTATTCGGCTTTGCTACTACTTCCCTTTTTTTCCTCACGCCTCCGCCTCCATCGGCGCTGTCTGAGAGAATGGCTGGCGCGTTTGATGAGTCGCATGTCGCAGTTTATGCTTCCACATGTGCGGCAATGCATAGAGGCTTGGTGCGCCCACGCAGACCTTCTCTCCCGGACAGTTGCGATCAACTGACATAGTTCACGCCAGGAAGCGGCACAGCCGTAGCGGCACGCCACGCATGGTCCAAGTAGTTGTAGGCGCGGTCAATGGTGCGGCCCTTTACGGCATCAGATAAGACAGCTCCGGCTGCGGCCGCAATGCTCTCGAAGGCAAGAAATTGAAACAGTTGCTGCTTGGTTGTGTATATCTGCAGACATGACGGCAGCACGTTCGAGGCGGGAATAGGCAGAAAGAACGGAGTGCGGTGGTCCACCGTCTCAAGCACAACGGAAAGTGAAATGCAGGCGATTTCAGTGAGTGGAATAACTTGGCGAATGCCCTCCAAAGGACTGCCGTTAGACCAAAGGCCGCTCTCCTTTAGCATGGCATTAGTCGCCTGGACAAGCATTGACGTTGTTTGCGCGCTGAAGCAAAGGTAGTTCTTGGTGATTTGCATGTGCCCCTTCACGCGCAGCCCGGCGTGCATCGCGGAGCAGTCGTAGTCCGCCAGCAGTATCTCCCCCATCGCGCTAAGCTCCGGAAAGTTGCTCTTGAAGCGTTCCACGTTCAGCTGCCGCTCCATCTGCCGTACGGCGTTCTCGGTTGCAGATGTTACCTCCGTCCCCGCACGCTCCACCTTGCGCGCAACCTTCTGAGCCATGCTTAGAAGGCTCGTCGTGGCGGAAGAAAACAAACCGGAAGTGTTGGAGGGGTCGGCGGGGGCACTCGGCTTAGCCCCCGAGCTGACGTGCTTACGCTCCCCCTGTTCCATTTTTTTCTGCTCCACGAACTGGCGGTACTGCTCGTCCGGCGTGGGGTCCATGCAGGGCGGGTGGGGTCGCGGCACAGGGCCGCTATAGCTTAGCGTGGTAAGCTCCACGTACTTGCCTCCACCAGCCGTCGGTTTTTTCTTGTCCGCCATTTGCCGTGTGTATATAAGTGTATCTCGCGGTGTGTGTGTGTGTGCCCTGTTTGTTGTTGGTGTATGTTTGCGCTGTATGAGCTTCCCTTGTTGCTAGACTGCGTGGGAGAGAGTGAGCGCGACACAGCCGAAGGCGAGAAAACAGCGCAAAAGCAACGTCAATAAACACAGGCACAAAATAGAGAAAAACAAAGATGCACCTGCACGCGGCCAATTCCTCGCATTTCTACAAGGCGTGAAGGTTGCAGCTTGGACCCATGTGCACCCAGCGCCTCCTCCTCTCCCCCCGCTCACAAGACAGTCAACCCAACACGCACACACACGCCCCAACAGAAAAAAAAAAAATGCCGCACAACAACCGCGTGTGCTGTGCTGCTGGCAAACTGGCACCCTTTGAGTTCTCCCCTCAGGGTCTTCCACGTGGGTGTGTGTGCGTGCCAATGACGGTGTTAGTTACAGCAGTTGTTGTTGTAGTAGTAGTGGTGGTGTTGGAGCGTGAGGGCGGAAACGCAAAAGTGCGTCACTCGCGCCGCAGCACAGCGCGGTTTCGTTGAGAATCACAAGCACAAAATCGTAAACATAAATAACTGTGCTGGGTAGAAAAAAACAGGGTGCAGGGTGTAGAATTGGGCCCAATCGCGTCCCACGCAGTCTCAGCCGCTCGCGTATCCCGCCCCCCGGAGGCCTCTAGAACCCAAAGCACAATTCACATAAACGAATCTCCTGTGCGTGTGGAACACAAAATGTGCACACCATTAAAAAACACACAAACAACACGACAATGATAATTGACGCGCGCCTCCCTTCTCACAAAGCAGCACTGCTACCAGTAAAACTTACTTTATGCTTGCTTTTGCTTCTTCCCTGCCAAGTTTACATTACCAAGGCGCGCAAGCAGAACGTTTTCCCCAAATTCGTTACCCAGCAGCAACGACGAATGAAAGGGAAACATAAATGGGGCGCAGGGCGGAGCGTGCGTGTGGCGATAAATAAAAAAGAGATGATAAATAAATTTTTAAAAAAGAATCCCGACCAAGAAAACCAAATGCTTACTCACGTTTACACCCCTCACAAACAAGGCATATGAGGCGCAGCGCCTGAGCTCCGGGGAGGGCGATTCCGCCTCCGGCTGTGGCGCAGGAACACTGACGACACCTGGCATCTTCGCGCTCCACACCGAGGCTCTCTCATTCGTGAGAAGTTGACTCAGATCCTCCTCCGAGGCGAGCTCGCTGCACGGTTGCCGTCACTGCGGCTGTAAAGTCAGCCGCGCCATCGGCTGCACGGAGGGGCCGGAGTCCACGTGCATCAGGCACGGCCGCGTCCCAATGCATTCCATGGGCATCACGGACGCCGCGTCGGAGGGACACGGCCATTCCGCCGCCTCTGCACGTTTGGCCCACCAGAAGAAGTTCCTTTTTGTGCTCATCCACAAATTTTGCATGCACTCGACGCCCCATTGCAAGCTCTCGCATGACGTGCCCCCTCCCTGCAGCTCCGTGGAGCTAACGTGTTTCGGAAGCTGGACTATGGCCGGGGTGAGAGGAGGTTGCTCTGCGTGCACGCCGCGCGTTCCTCTCGCCGCCCATGTTGTTTGAAGCAACACGCCCAGACGAAAACAAGCAGGAAGGTAAACAAGACATCCTCACCGATCGCGCACCCAATGATGGCCTAAAACGTGCTTCTTTCATCCATGGAGCCCCGGCTTTCATGGTTGTACTGTTGACGGGCATTGTACCAGACGTGAACTTCGGATCCGTTCCACCCCCACGCAGCCGTCCACCATTATAGTCGTTGCTAGTCAATCACCTTCGACGGCTTACTTCTTCTGCCTTGCCCTTGAGTGCTGACAGGCAAAGTAACAAAAAAGCAACAACACACATTGTAAATTATATACAAACATTCTTCAAAAGACATGAAGAGA